TTTGATGTTTTAAGTAAAGGTATATTAATTAGTAGTAATGTAATTTTAGCAAGTTCATTCTGAGCTTCATTAATTCGAACTCTTGTAATTTGAAGCACATCATTGATAGCATCAGGTGTTTTATTTGCAATCTATTTTAGATACAAAATCTTTACAACTTCAGTTTCAGCTAAAGATGTTCTAAGATCATGATTCATTGTAGATGTTTTTGGTACTCCAAATACAAGTGTTGTATTTCTTTATTGATTAAATATTCCTCCTCAAAGAGATGGAAATATATTATCTTCAAAACAACAATTTTGAAAATGTGTACATAATAATGTACCACTTGATAGATCAAGTATATGAATAATGCTTGATGAATCAAAATTAACATATATGCCTTCTTGTCGATGAGCTCCAAAGGTATGTCATTAAGGTTTTGATATTGGAATCCAAGTATGGCAATTTAACACCCATAGGTGAAATATATTTGAAACACAAACTGAAATGAACTCTTGTGGTGTTATAATTTCAAGAAAAGAAGGACAAAGGCATATTAATGTTGCAGCATGCAAAATTGCATGATCCCACATAGATGTAAGTAAATTTGTCTAAAGAAGTAGTAGCTAGGTAATGAGTTGTCTATGCTTTATAAATGATTCTGCAAGTTTATTTTGAGCATGTTCATATGGAACATAATATGTCAACTCAATTCGTATTTTAGTACAATAGTCTTTAGAAGACTTTGATGGAAATTCTTTTGCATTGTCCATATGCAATGTTTTGATACAATAATCAAGAAATTATGCTTGGAAATAAATAAGCATAGATATAAGATTGGCTAATACCATGTTTTGAGTTAATAATAATAAAATATATAATTCTTTGCCTGATGCATCAATAAGGACCAAAAAATAACAAAATAGTCAAAATATTGGATTAATAGGACCACAAATATCACCATGCAACCTTTCAAGCATTAGTGGTAATTCTTATGGAAATTTTCAAATTAAAGGCCAAGCAATTATCTTGCCTTGTACACATGCATGACATAATTCTTTAGAATCTACATTTGAAAGTTTTAAATTATGTTTAGTTATAGATTGAATTATCTACCAAAATAATGTAGATATTAGGCGTCTCAATTTTCCATGGCAAAAAAGAACGCAACTCTCTAAGATAAATGATGTAAAATTAAATATAAAAGGAGGTTGAATTGCAATTTGGTATAAACGATTTGTCGTAGCAAAGGCTTTATTTACAACTTTATGATTCTGTTCAAGGGCCAAAACCTCCCACCTATATAGAATTGTGGTTGAAAATTGATAACCATTAGCTCACACATTTTGGTACCTAATCAGACTCCAAGATGTTGAAAATGCAAATACTGCATGTTTACATTTTATGATAGAGTCTGTAGGTAATTTTACCATTCTTATTCCCTCTTGGAAACAAAACGAATTTGTTTCAACCATAGTCATCAAATTTCTAGTTTATCAGGTTGAAGATTTTTCAATAAAAAAATCATCTACCTTGCAAGATAGTATATGATGTTGTAGAATCAATGAGCGCATCATTTGACTCATTATTAGAGGTTTTGTCATTCATATAAGTTTCTAAATTATCAACACCAATTGAGTCCATAGATACATCCATGGTATGAACTTCATAAGCTGCAACTCAAAGTTTCTTATTTTTTTAGAATATTTTAAAAAAGTATTTTGAAATATGGCATACATTTGCCAAATGTCCAATCATTCCACATTTATGGCAAGAATGCATCTATGATTTTTGTTTTCTACTATAATTAATTGTAAGATATTTATTCTTTCCATGTAGGCAGAAATGGTAACAACCATGACTGAGTTGGTATTTGTGAGTACTTTTTCTATGTTTATATAATTTTTTCTTAGAATTTGAAATATTAAGTATATGAGATTATAAAAGAGTAGTTCCAATAGGACAAGCTTTTCTATTTTGCAAGAGTAGCTTATTTTGTTTTTCTGCAAGAAGTAGATAGGATACGAGATTACGATGTCTTTAAAATTTCATGTTCTTATATTGTTGTGCAAGCATAGTAGATGCAGGAAGAAACATAGAGAGATTTTTTTCAATCATTTCTTCTTCAGAGATGTCTTGTCTACATAACTGTAGTTCTGAGATAATATGATACATTTCATTGTTGAAAGCATTTAAATTTGGAAATTCCAAGACATATAAATGTATCCAATCATGATGTGTATATGGAAGGAAAATGGATTTTGATGATCAAATCCAAATTTAAGATTCTCTCAAAGCTTGGCTAGATCTTACATTTTTAAATATTGATATTACAATGTAGGTACAAGATGACAACAAAAGAAAAGAAGTGCTTTCCAACAGATAGCAAGAGGAATTGAAGTACTCATAGTAAGAGATTCTTCAAATAGAATTGCATCCGAGCGTTGTTTTGCAAATAAATTTGCTTTTGTCATTTTTTCTTATAATAGATAATTGTTTCCATCAGCTGCCAATGGTGGAAATAGAAGAGCTTGAAAATGTTGGGATGTAGTGGTGATAGTTAGAAACATAGTAGAGGTAGTTGAGGATGTTGAAGCACTCATTATAAATAAATCTATGAATAAAAATACAAGATCAAGTAGAAAAGGTTGAATAAAATGCACCTTAAAATGTAAAGCCAAATAAAATGATAAAGTTGAAACTTGAAATTAAAAGTGTTGAAAATTTGATTTTTTTTTTTTTTTTTTTTTTTTTTGTCTACAAAAATAAGGATTTGCGATGGACTATGGCATGGCATTGCAACTCGACAGTAGGGTGCGGTAGTTGGTGGCAAGATGTTGCAGACAACGATAGAGTGCGACAATCGGTGGCAAGATGCAACAGGGTGTAGCAATTTGGTAACAATACAATAGCACAATAATAGCAACAACATCAACAACACAACATAACAATAATAACAACATAAGGTTAGGAAAAAAAATTGAGGAGAAAACGAAGGATAAAGTGTACATATATTTTTATGAACCAAGACTAGTGCATAAGAACAATCATGATGATAACATGTTAAGAATGTTTTAGAAAGTGAAACAAGAGTAGCTAGAAGTAATGTGTATACACATATAAAATGCACACATATGCATAGGAAAAAGTTTTATTGATATGGTTATCTCACTTATACAAAGAGAAAGGAGGGAAGATTAATAGTTTCTCCCCACTACATTCCAAACACTATAGCTATGGTATTTACTATAGACTACAGTAAATAGCATGGAGAGCGCAGGCTACATTTAATGCTCTCAACATTATTGAAGGGACTATAGGTATTGGTCAATTTCAAACTGTATTTAATGCTCTCAACACAATTGAAGGCACTATAGGTATTGGTCTATTTCAAACTGTAGCAATACCTGAATCACACTGCACACTTAATACACTTTAAAGCCATTTAAACCTCATAGTTTGAATTCCCTGTTTGCTTCAGATTTATTTCACCTAATCAAGGTTGAACTGCACATCTGGATTTATATTAAGAGACGGCAGAGTTTAGAATTGGAATGTAACTAATTAAATGCAGAATACTTTACACATTAAGCAAATAAAAACTAGAATGGGACAGTTATAACCTTGATGAAAGAGGTTAATCAGATTCTGGATGGAAGGGTTTTATCTACAAAATTCTTCTAGTTGAGAGTCCTGCTCCCACCATGGAACAAATTTCATAATATCTAAGAGTGAATATTCTTGGCGCTTCCTATAATAGAAAACTGAGCCCTTATCACAGAGCCCATTCGGGTAGAGGACATTCATAGGTCCAATTGCTGCCTGAGTAGCGGATGCAGTGCAACCACAGTCCTTCGTCGTCACCAGTATACCTGCAACCCCCACTTACTTTTCAGCCTCTCTGACCCCACAATAATTGTTCAAAAAGCACTCAAACATAGGTAATTTACGAATGAATAGCATCATGACAAGATCTCAAATTACACACTAAGTTCATGTCTAAGCTCATCAAGCAGCCAATATTCGAGCCTATTCAGGTGGTTGAGATGAAAATCGATATGAAGACTTGCAAACTCTTAAAAATGTAGCCCATCCAGAAATACAGGTCAAAGATAGTACGCACCCTGTAGGTGCCATGTTGGGGCAGTGGGTACACAGAGGATCGACCATGAAGTTTGGATTTATACTCTTAGAAACAAATTGGGAACGCTCCTTTTGCAGTTCAGGAACTTCATTAGCTTCTATTGACAGTGATACACCTGGCTCTAATAGATCACCACCATTGGAGCACGCGTTTTCCGCATCCTCACTTGATCGACGGTCGATAATTTCAGCATTCTTGCTATGCTCCTGAAGTTTCTCTCGTTCTGCCTCACGAGTATTATCACCCTGTTTGGTGTTTGTGACAGCAACACTCGGAGCAGTCACATTGCTTGAATCTAATCTCTCATCGCTGTAATTCACGTCTACAGAAACAGTAGAAAGAACAGCAATGGAGCTGTCTTTAACTTCTGATATGGTTTCTGGAACCTCCGGAATTTTAGCAGCTCTGTCTGCTGTCGTATTTGCCTTGGAACGCTTGGTGACGTTGGAGTGCAGGTAGAGATCATCATTTGCTATTGGAAAGCCCAAATATTGTAAGTGTACCCTAATCTGCAGAAGAAAGCACTATTATTAATTATGAGACTAATTATTTTTTACTCTCAAGAATTGATTGGAGAGTATGCTGCATGTTGACTTAGTTTTCATAAGTGAGAAACTTGGCACCATCATCTTGAACACATGGACTTAAAGTACTGCAAGTAACGAATGAATGTCACCTGGTGTGTGCGACCTGTTAAGGGCATGCACTGTACGATACTGTCAACACCATCGGTACTCAACCTCCGAAATTTTGTACATGATTCCTTGCTTTTAGCATCACTTTCTGGGGTCCTTTTTGAAGCTCCTTTAAGAGTTGATTCAATCTCAACTGCGATCTCTTTTGCAGGACGGGCTCGAACCTGGCGATCCAATTACAGCGTACAAAGTAAAAATGCAGAATTCGGAATGGACTAAAACTTGACAAATCTAAATCTATGATACAATTCGAAAGATACACGACAAACTATATACAAACATATTGGAAATCAACATCCAAGATGTCTCGTTTAATGTGCTGAAAGTTATTCAGGCAGTATTCAAAGATTTCCTGATAAACGCTCATGTCATTTGGCAGTAAAAACTGTAGTATTGGTTCGACCAAAAATCTACACAAGTTGAGAGAGTGAAGGAAGAATCGAGTAAAAATCGCATAGCATTGCTTTAAAGATCAAGATAACAAGACTAATAATGTTTACAAACACTTCAAGGTTGTTTTGTACCTCCACAGAACTTCTGCCTTCACGAGGATCATAGATCACTGCAGCATTCAGCTCCACCTGTGCAACAAACACATCATCAAGGTACTTAGATATGAAACGATTTCTTGCCTCTGTAGGACATTCATGATCTTCCAACCCATAAACAGCAAGGTTGCTCGTCAAAGTAGAAGGACTACAATTACAGAATACAATGTACCTCCTCTGCTGGGAAAACGCCCTTCACCTTAGCCACATATTGCTTCTGAACAACTCCAGCTTCAATCTGCCAATTTCAAACATCCTTGCATGACGTGATGAAGAAATAGGTTTACAAACTTAAGGGAACAAAGAAAACACAACATGAGTCTTGGAGAGAAGCAAATGCAACCATGTGACGGAATAAAATAAGTGACAACTAACATAAAATTACGGAAAGATGTGGTCATACCTCTTGCCGAAAAAAATCTGCTGTACGAGAATTCCGTGCTAAGATGAGAAGTCCTGAAACTAACCGATCCAAGCGGTGCACAGCTGTTATTTAATTTCCAATAGTAAAGGAGCTTCATTTCGGCTTTGCTAAAGATATTAAACTACAAACAGAAATATCACAGGTTCTGGAGAAACACAGGATAATATATCACGCGATGGTGACACAACCTATTAATTGGTTACACAGGTTATGGTACAGGTGACCTAATGCTGTGAAATTCTACGAGGATACGAAAGAGGGGACCGGTCTTATGTTCAGCCTCCAAAATGCTGATCACCGAATTCTTGCGATACTGACCACAAGGATGCACCTGCACAGAAGGAAACACCAGATGGTACATATCGAGTTTGAGATCTCTGTTGCTCAATAGAAGGTGCTTCAAAAATTCGGAATGAGAATTTATTTCAGCGATGATTAACCAAAGGTGAATTTCCTTCAACCAATCGTCCATGAAACTTCCTATTAATTCAAGTATGCTCTCAATAGTATGGATTGCCAGTGATCGCAAATTACAATGGGCAAATGCTTCAGTAAAGTGACAGTATCATGATTCTGTAATGCGTGCGCATTAAGAGAATAAGAGTGAGTAGCCGTGGGTCCTCAAGGCGTGAATGGCCTTCTAGCTTGATTCTTGCTATCATGGCGTTGAAGCACTGATTGTTGTACTGTGATCTGCATTTTTAAATTGAATACTTAAGTTTCCTCCTTAGACAACCTTGGAATTTGCTATGAGCTGCGAGTTGCTTTGAATTTGTTAAGAATGTTTTAGAGAGAGATAAGAGTAGTTAGAAGTAATGTGCACACACATGTAAAACACACACAAGAGAGTTTTATTTATATGGCTATCTCACTTATACAAAGAGGAGAAGAAGAAGATAAATAGTTTTTTTCTTTTTTTTAATAAGCGGATTCTTATAGTAGCATCACTAGTATTTTTTTCAGCTATTTTATATATCATACATCCAAACTCTTCTTACTACTATATCAACCTTACCCATTTTTTTTTAGGAGAGTTGATAATTTGATGAGATATATGAAAATAATTGTTGTAAAGAATAAGTATTTCAATAAACATATATATATATATATATATATATAGATTCCGAGTGAATCAAAATCATAAAAAAATGATGACAAATGTAATACCTTTTTAATTGAATAAAATATAAATTCAGGTGTGATTATCAACATATAAATGTAAATATTTGAATGCATAAGCACTTTTAATTATTATTGTAGATTTTAAAGCAAAGGTGAATCAATTTTTAGAGGGACATAATACAAACAAGATTTTCTACTCATCTCTTGTTTATTACACTGCATAAAGTTTTAATCAGAAAAGAGTGTTGGATGTAGCAATAATAAGTGGACATAATGTTGCCAATAGTATTTGTTGTTTAAGGGACTCAAATGTTTTTTTTGTAAAACATAGCAATTTCGTTAATTTATAAATTTGTTGAAGACTTTACTAGTAAATTAAGCACATCTATCACAACATCTTGTTATTTCTTAAATACTATATTATTAAAGCATATAGAAAGAGGACCACCTCCAATGTAAATGCCATCCTAAGTGTTTGGTATTTACTTTTTATTATTAGCTACAATATATTTAAAGAAGTCTAAAACTTTGCAAGACCATTTAATCTGTTTGAGTTTCTTTAATGTACATAGAGGAGAGCCGTTTATGTCTTTATAACTAATTAAAGTGATGAATTAAATGTATACTTATATATTCGAAAATTGGCTTAATTGAAAAACTTAATTGAAAAAGCTAAAAAGTTCTTGACATTATGATTTAGAAGTGGTAGAAAAAAGAGATTGGAAACCCTGAACGCATAAACAAGAGTCTACAAAAGAATCCTTGTCACTCCAAAGATATTCCTAAAAATAATTTTTTTTAAAAGTAAACAGTAAGGGGGACAAACTTAAAAATCCCAAAACCATATAAGCTCTTATATCTTTTCAGATCAACTGTAATATCAACACTGGTCCATATTTAATATAAGCCCTTGCCAATCTAAGAGACCAACTTATATCACCTGTAGAATGTTGTTGATATGCTTTGCTGTACCCCTCCTCATATTATGTTTTTTATTCTAAACGATCAGGTACTCAAAATTTTGCAAATATCTTTTGATATAAGAGGTGGGTATTTTGATATAAGTGCTTATATCCTTTGAAATCAATGCTGCCATCAGGAAGGTGTATATCATATGATATTAAAAAAAACCGTGACTGAGAACGTAGATGGTGAAGGGGGAGGGTGGACGGAGAACGAGGACGGAGAGGGTGGACGGAGAACGAGGACGGAGAGGATGGACGGAGAACGAGGACGGAGCACGTCAAAGGCGGGCATTCAGCCACATCGCTGCTTGAACCTCAAAGCTGCTCGATGTTCAGGTCAGTTGGGATACTCAATTGTGTTGCTTCACTTGAATCCTTCGTTCTGTCCGGTGCGTGCTGTCGTATTTTTTCAAAATCTACGTCTATTCCATTTGATCCGCTTCAGATAGATCGTGAGATGAGAACTATTCCAGTCTACGAGAGTTTTTGTTCCTGGAGCTATTAGGGTTTGAGGGCTCAGTCGATTGCTCCGGTTTCGATTGAATTTTTGTAGGGTGTGATGCTTCGATAACTGCGGATCTGTACCCGTGCAGCTCTTCGGGCGACTGTATCTTTGGGTTGTTTTTGATGTTGTTCGAGTGATTAGAGTAGGAGATTGCGAGAGATGTTATAGTTTGGTTGTCGGCGGTTAACTTGGGCGTGGTTCTTGTCGGCGTGAGACTTTCATCGGATGTGGCGGGGCATTGCTGTAACCAACGATCCTCGGCGGTATTAACGGATTTGGCAAGGGGTTGGATACGTGGGAGCTGGTTTTTAGCTGTAAAGGAATTTGAAATTTGAAGAATAGAAGCTATGGCGGGCTTGGTATATGATGCGCCATCATTTCCTCTTAGCCCCGGTGACAATCCTGAACAGGATCTTCCTGTTTGTTTGCGACTGATAAGCCCTCCAGCGACAAATGGGTTTACCGGGTTGCTGTACAATGTGGTCATGGCGCTCCCTGCATTGCTGTTTCTGCTATTTCTTCTCGCGCATCTACGTTCTAGTGTTAGGAAGCTTTTACATAGTCAGTCGCACATAATGGCAGCTTACTATGCATTTCTTTGGGTCATTTGCGTGCTCAATATTTGTTGGTGTCTCCTAGAGATACAACAAGCAAAAAATCATGATCAAGAAACAGCATGGAACATTATGTCTCTCCTGACGAGGTTTGGCTTGGTTCTTCTCGAAGTGAGCGTGGTCGTGTTTATGTCTCAAGGTTACCTCATCAGTGGTTGGGATGCGCTTCTTCGCACCCTCTTGTTTTCGGGAATTTTCGCCACGGTCGATGCCATAGTGAAAGCTGTGTACATATTTGGCCTTGGGATTCCACTTTTCACCAAACAAGAAGATGCTGGAGATTGGAACAAGTGGGGCTTCTGGTTGTTGCAGAACCTTTTCTTTTCTGCAGTTTATGTTATCATCTTGGCTCTGCCATACACACGATGGAGAGATCGACTACCAGCTCGTCCATCTTTCTACCGCTACGTCACTGTCCTGTTTGCCTTGAATGGAATTGAAGGCTTTGGGAGTTTGCTATTGGGAATTGGTGCCAGTTTTGGATACTGCGTCTATGGGTTTGCCAGCTTCGCATACTACGCCCTGTATCCGCCTCTCCTGTACTCGACTTTCCTTTCGGAGTTTTTGGGAGAAGAAGATGTGCAGATGGAAGATGCGTATTACTCGGAGATGAAGGATGCGGGGTATTTTGACGGGGATTGGGAATGATCAAATGTTTTGAACATGCACCACTTTAAGCCGGTTCTACTTCAGTATCACGAAGTTGACATTTACGGAGTTCGTGATCTCAATGTAAAGTGGCCACATCCGTTTGATTTATAGAGCACCTACACGTGGCTGTTGGTTGGACTGGTTACGAATCGCGAGGAATAAGCCCTCAAATGGATGATCGAGTCATTATTGGAGCGCCAAAGTTGAAAGGATCCGGGATGTCCTTGTTTTTTTTTGAGCTCTGCCTCGTCGAGGTTTTTGCAGCGCAGCGAAGAATACAGGTATGCCCGATTCATCTTTTGAACTTTTCGCTCAATTCTCCACGACTGAGGTGCAGCCTTAAATAGTGAACTCGAAATTTTCAGAGTTGTCATTTTATATCTGTGTTGGCACTAAATTGTCCGACGAGCTGGAAGTCATCAAGCATGGACCATGAGTTTTCAAGCGCGCTTTTATGATTTTCTTGTCTAATGCCCAGTTAATTTGGTCGCTCAATTTCTCGTAGAACCTCTACCCTAAAATTTGTATACACCTTTGTTGCGAATAAGCCCGTCTAAGATTGTTATCGTTATCATTCAACGTCTTCGTTTACAGTGTCTACTGTAGGTAACCATTTATTTCCAGCTTTCGATTAGCCTTTACACTTCATCGGGTGTTAAAACTGGATGAGACTATTCTAGGTGATCCGAGCCTAGTACTGTTGAGTTGCTATAGAAGGCAATTGCTTGTCGCGCTCTTTTTCTTTTGGCATTGCACATCTGAAATCACTTATCTTTCTAACTAGCATGTACCGTTTCACTAATTCTCAGTATGTTTTGCATGGTTTGGACACTTAACTTGAGAATGTCTATGCTTTCTTGGTTAGTTCGGGCATTCGTCGGTGATCGGCAGTCTTAATTTCGGCTGCACAAATTACGTCTTTGAAAGTGTGAATACGGCTTGCATGCCACTTACCACCTTTCATCCTATTTATTTGAACCTGGACGCTGTACTGGGATCGTTGTGCTGATTAGATGGTGTGTTGCGTACAGGTGATTGAAGGCTGTGAACCTCGACGATGTATCGAGCTACGGTCAGGATTTATATTTGAACGAGCAAATTGAGTAATTTAGTTCTACATCACATCAACGTAAATTTCTTGTTCATCGATCTGTGAAGAATTGAACTACACAGATTAAGGTTGTGCCGACCATTGTTGCCCCACATCTCCTAGGTGCTGATAGGTGCTATTTGTTGGGGGCGAAGGACTTATTACGTCCCTTCTTTTCTCCGCTCTGACACTGAACTCAACTCACACAAGTAGCAGTGCGGATGTGTACGTGTTAATCAATCTGTTTATTATATATATTTGTTTATATATATATATATATATATTAGTCAATTTGTTAATCAATTTATATGTTTATTTATAATCAATTTGTTATATATATATATATATATATATATATTTTAATCTTGGTTTCCAAATCGTGATCCACATCATATTGACGGTGCTTGCTCACCAAAGCAGCTTCGTGCAACAGACGAGCTCTTACGCAACTGTTTCACCAACTCAGAGTACATACCTTGAAGCTTGCAGTGCTATCTGTCTTCTATTTGCATGATATATGAACAGTGACGCAGACATTTGAACATATGAGGCGAGCTGCTAACTGCCATCTAGAACCGTACAGATTTGACAGATTTGACACACAGCACCATCACTAAAAAAAAATGAGTATGCATATTTCTCTAAACGCATCGTTTATCAACCTTCTTGCTTGGTAGTCTTTATTCAAAAAATCGTTGTGGCATTCAAAGAAAGCGAGCAACAGTCACTGCATAGATATATACATGAAATCAATTGAACTGTTCTCAACTCTAATCAGTAAGTAAATAATCAGAAAACCTAGGCTAGTTTCTACATGAGGAAATGCGAGAGCTCTAACTTCGGCGCTTCAACTTGCAGGATTTGCTCTTGAGCAAGACGGGGTTCACCCCCATCGTCACGTCGCAGTCTACACGGACCTTGAATCCCGGGGACGTGTAACTTCCAATCTTGACATGGACTTTGGCGTTTGCGCGGAAGTGGAGCGGGACGCTGTTGCTCTGGATCTGTGAGGCAAGAGTAGTTGCGGAGGTTGAAGTAAGCGCGTAGTCATTGACGAGGACTTCAGACGTGATGGTCGTGATGTTCTGGTGACCTTGGTAGAAGCCGGGGATGGTGCTGCGCCCGAAGACTTGCCCGTCATACGAGGATTGTATGTCGATGTTGTCGTATTTGATGCCGATCTTCTTGTTGGGATTGTTAGCCGTGATAGTGTAGAGGATATCGGCATTAAGAGTGCTGTTCTGTCCCACACTGAAGCTACGAAAATCAACGTTGTCGAGGCTATATTTGGGCAAGTGGATGGGCTTCAGCACCAACCAGAGTACCAAAATCGTAATCCCTGCTAGAAGTAGTAACACAAACAACAACGAACAGAAGGTGGATAACAAGCAGCAGCAGCAGCTAGCAATCCCGCCGCGACGTCCACGATGGCGAGGTTTAGCGTATGTAGCCGGAGGAGGGATCGATGGCGATCCGGGGTGCACTTGGTCTCCCATGACTGCTGTAAATTCCACACTGCAAGCACTTCACAGTTTTCCGATCAACTCACGAGAAGACTCTTACCGAAGTCCTACTGCGCGCGAGTTTAACCAAGGGATTGTAATTTGCACCACGGGCTCCCTTTCCGCACAGAAGTAACTTCGAGCGCGACCTGTTCCCGCTTGCTCCGCTTAATTTCTCCTCAAACTCGTTGCTCAATAATGTGGAGAACCCGAGCTACGGCAGCTTATATTGGTTTACAAAGGGCGAAAGCGGCCTTGAGCGGAGATGTTGAGAGAGTGATGAACAAGCGCGTCATGTGCGGTCATGACACTGTCCAGGACGGTGCATGAAACCGCGGCGATTTAGATTAACTGGTGTCTGCGACGCGGTCCGGAATTAAAAGCGCGCCCGGATGCTATTTTAAGAACTATCGAAGAACCTCACGGTGGGCCTCGACGTCCGCGTGGATTCGGACTTTGAAGTCGGAGGTATTAGAGTTTGTGGGCCACGCTGCTTCCTGGTTCCATCACAATGGCGTAATCCAGAGGTGCTGCGTCGCCTTTGCACCAACTCCTGCAACAAATTCCACGAAGGCTACCGGCACACAAATTGCGTGCTCTCTGGAATTGGAATTTCGGGGGGTGTTCTGTGTGTGGTGGTTATTCTGTCAGCTATGGTTGCATTCATATGGTCAGTGTCGACATTGCAAATTATCGAAGGTTATCTTGGACACGAAAGCAAGGGTAAACGTGTCATGAATGCTCGTGACTTCAAGTGTTGACAACAGAAACTGTCATGTTACTGAAAGTTGCATGATGTTTACAATACCGCGCCCGGTGAGTAAAGACAAGGTATCACAACTTGTGTCATTTCAGCGCTCAAGAGTATACCACGCCATGTTAATCGTATAATCCTTGCGGAACACTTCTATTGAGTCTAATATGCACGTAAAGCTAAAAGTTCACGAGGTCGAAACTTTTCAAGACCCTTTCTAGGAAGAATGTCTTGACGACGCTCGAGAATTGAGAGAACACTTACAAGCCTTGGACCCAACAATTGAAAGGCTTTATCTCCGAGAGGTTCTTCTGGGGGTTGTGTACCTGATGAGTTAATGCAGCTCGTCAATCAAATTCTGGATTAGCTGGGCTTGCAGCACTGCATTTGTCATGACAAGGGTGCTTCTCCTATTTTTTCGACGTTGCTGCAGCGTGTGACGTAAAGCAAGCATCATGACTGCTATGCATTCCTCTACGGCATTGGGGTTGCTTGGTATGTAGATAGTTTTTCATTTTGTTCCGCGGTCCCATTTCTAAAAGTTCGAATCAGGTAGTACTTCATTGAAGTTCTTCGCTAATTGGTCTGAATTCAGCTCATGGATTTCAACTAGATTATAGATAGTCTGATCATACCAAATTGAATCCTCGAATTCTAGCAGCTGCTCGTGAAAGCCTTCACAGATTTGTCGCAGCAGGTGTTATCTGTAGAACGTGATAAAAAAGAACGACGAGATTACTTACTCACCTGGGCACACCAACAGCAACAGTGCAAATTTCCATCTGAAATTTTCGCCAGTCAACTTTCACATAAGAAAAAGTCGTAGTGATCCGATAAAATCCTCGCATTTTTGATAATTAGCCAATTTCCACAGAAATAGTTGTTGTGGTCAGACTTTGAAATAATATAAAAACACAGATGTCGCAGGCAAGAAAGAGATGTAATAGATATAGGGCAGCACCAGGTCAGAAATGCTCACCAAAAGCTAATATCTCGAAAAAAACCTTAGAATCTAACAATTCAGATACCTTAATGTCACGAATCACATGTACCACAGGACAAGCTCAAGATCTGGGCCAGCACTAGTTCCTACCATGTATCGGCTCAAGAAGGGCATTTGCACATCGCACGCTCAAACGACAGCTACTGTTTGATGACCGATGCTTTTTCCCACAAACCTGGACACGATACAAATCAACCATTTAGCTGCACGGTATTGGAATAAACAAATCTAATACTATAAATTTAATGGCCGTACGTAACAAAGTAAATTCGAGAGAAGTTCTCGCATTAATCATTCCATGGATCTTCAGAAAAGAGATTTAGCTCCTACAGGTTGGAGAAATTAAACAGCCGTAAGCTGATTGAATCGCCCCTCACCGTCATATGGTTCCTAGGTTGTTGTTGCCCGACAGAACTCTGGTCTGTTAGGGTCCTATCTGAGAGAACCCAATGGGTTGGCTTGAACACTGCAACAAATTTGAAAATATCCACATTAGCATTTCAAGTTATATTTCCATTTGTTGTTCCGCACAATTATGGTCAAACAACAATAAATAACATGATTCACTACGTAATTAAAGAATTTATGCTGAATGAGAGTTTGGTTCCCTGTACCATACATCATGAACGATGGAGAGCAACAATGAATGAAGTAGTCACAAAATTCCCGCGTTTGTAAATCAGCTGCATTTACAGGTGATGAAGCTTGATTTAAAAAAATCACTGCAGGTAAAAGTTACTTCTACACGAAAATAGGATGTGGTTGCGTTCTATCTGTTCTTAAGCTGGGTCCTCATTCTTGAAGTGTTTACCTTGCTGAAGCACACCTAACCGCGTTGTCATAGGGAAAATTTTAAGAGGTCCTTATCGCCCATAGAGATGCCACAAAAAGTGAGCAAAATACCAGCATATATAGTTAAGGGCTTTGTCTAAGAGCTGGTTTACTTCTGCCTCAACGTCTCACGCAATCCCCAAGCCGACGATTTCACAATGGTTTTCTTTGCAAGCTGCTAGAAGCGTGGCACGATTGGAATTTCAAATCTGCAATGCCTCTATTCCTTAAGATCAAAATTGGTATCATTGTCATCCAAATGCACACAATGAAGGAATGGAAAAGAAGATGTTGGCTGATCCTCAAAGGTACATTAAAGATTATGATGGTTCAATTATATTAAAAATCGTTGCTTCTCACAAGTGTGCAGTTGAGTAACGATATTGTAATGAATGCAATCTTACCTGGTGAAGCTGTTACTCTCATTGAAATCTACCACCTTATCGCAGGCTGAAACTGCCACTACCTTCGGTCTGCGAATAAACTGCACATTATTTTTGAGTACGTTGATAAGGCTAGCAAGAGCCAAGGAATTGATGGAAGCGCATCAAATATCTAGAGAATTGTTCTTAACAGAAAAAGCTTGTTACTCGAGATAACCAGCCGCCAGGTAGAGTTGTTTTACCACTGCGTCAGACCAATTTCTGCTGGTCGTATCCACTCACGCCCGCTTGAAATGCAGTACCTTCTTCCTGCATGTCGAAATTCTGCATCCACAAGCTCATCAAGTACGATGGACCATATTGAAAAAAATTCAAGTTTCAACCTAGAAATGACAACTTGTGAGATATAAATATAGGTGCTAATCTCTAATATTCCTGAGTAAACGCAAGACCATGAAACCTAAAGATGATCATCGCTGTTATTTCTCTAACAGAACCCCGATATATTAATAATGATCAAGCTGTCAGTAAACAGTTCTTTATTTCCAAAAGCCTTCTTGGAATTCCTCCGTCAGAGAGCGTCCGCATTGAATACAAAATTGATTCAATATATGTTGTATTAATTTCGATAGTCATACAGACAGTGTTTGCTGCATATACTTGAAGCTTCCTCACTACATTTCACCTTGTAAACTTTCAACCATACTCGATTAGCCACTGGGAGCCGCGACATACTTCTGCTGCTGTCATTGTACATGTTTTACAATTTTCGTGCTCATAACTTAGCCATGCTTTCAATTTCTACACCTACAACCCCAACCTCTTAAAGCTTCTCACTTTAGGAATAGCTCAAATACTTGACACAATTCTGAGTCTTTAGTCTTTTACCAGTAGAAAAGCTATACAAACGGTTTCATCTCGAGATGGTGCCCAAACAAAAAAAAAAGTTCTGACATGTTGATTACATCAATGGAATCAATCTCCATACGCATTCTCTTTTGAATGCAATACACATAATCAAGCAGTACTTGACGAAATCCCATTCTGACAAGCACATGGAAGTGTGTGTCCCACCTCCTGTTGTGACGTGGATCACATAGCCAGGCTGAAGGTGAAACAGAGAAAAGACGTCTCCCGCTCCAGCTGCGGCATAACTGGGTTTTCTTCTGGCCCATAGGGCTTCTACCATGGCATAACCATACTGCACAACCATAACTGCCCATCTCTTTTTCTTAACCACTGTAATAGCATCACCTAACATGACCTACAGAACCGAGAATGAAGCAACTTTTGGAGATACAGAATTTGAAGATTTAGTCACTGTTTTCAGGTTGATATCCAAGCTTTCAACACAGTGTTTTGCAGGCTCAATCGAACCATGACCATGGCGCAGGTCACACACTGACAATCTATCATTTAGAACTGAAGGAAAGGCTTCAAAACTTTCCAACCTTCAATATCGGAAAGTAGTAACCACTCTCCAGTCTCCAATCTCCGAAATAGGAACCACCAGGCTGTAGGTCATTATCAGAGGTTAAAGCGCCACCCATAACCCTGAGCCGAGCTTTCAGGGCATATTCTGTTTTGAAGTTTTTATACCCGACGCACTACTTGCCATGCGATGCACATTACGAAAAATCCAATGCAATTCAGCACATGATGAATCTAGAGGCAGCTGCGGCACGATCGCTACAAAACAAGAAAGAAGAGTACATTTCAGTTACATTTTCAGATTAAAATAACTTTTAAAAAGCGACGAGAGAACAAGGGATAACACGCCAGATTCCAACCAGCGATGAGCCCCGAACAGCGATAATCTCCAAGTAAAGCTATACTAAGCAAGAAAGCATTTCAAATTAGAGTAACACGGTCAATCTAAAACGCAAGAATATAAATAAAATATCCAAGATATGGGTCCCGAAGCTAAGCTGCCTGGATGGCCAATACGCTGAACTTATTGTCGATGCTCTGGGCTTCCGGGCATGGAGTGGCTTGGAACAGAGGTGAGGCAGGACCTGGTGTGGATGAGAACCAGGGGTGACTCAGTCTCGGGAGCGCGAATGGTGTTTCTGGATTGCGTTCATCCTGCTGATGCTCTCGTACTTGAACAGGTTTCTGGATGGTTTCGTTCTTTCTGGCCCAATTTGCGAAGAAGAACCAGTTTCATCGACACCCAATAGTTTTGGTTTCTGGGTTACCATAATTGCATTGTTTTTAGAAGTGGTATGTGCGGTTGCTGGAAGACGGGTGTCGGAAGATTGGGTGGGGAGTGGAATTCCGGTTCCAACGCGATGGCAGCGATGATAGTGCGGACGGGGAGCGGGCCGCCGCAGCGGACGCTGTTGCCGTCGCAGGAACTTCTGGACGACTTGTGCAGCCGCTTCGTGCTTAATATGCCGAAACAGGAGCTGCAAGCATTCGAGAGGATATTATTCTCCGTGGAACAGGCTCACTGGTTCTACGAGGACAATGCAATGGAGCAGAACATGTCGTTGAAGTCATTGACGCTGCGGGAATTCACGTCGCTCATGTTTCAAAGTTGTGTGGCGCTGCGGCCCTACATCACGCAGATTGACGACATTTACAAAGATTTCACGACGTACAAGACGAGAGTGCCAGTGATGGGCGCGATCATCCTTGACGAAACCCTGGAGAGGTGCTTGTTGGTCAAAGGTTGGAAAGCGGGCTCTAGCTGGAGTTTCCCCCGAGGGAAGAAGAACAAAGACGAGGAGGACTCCGTCTGTGCGGAGCGGGAAGTGCAGGAAGAGACGGGGTACAATATACATCCCAAACTGAGATTAGAGGATCATTTGGAAGTCGTAATAGGCCAGCAGCGAATGCGTCTGTATATTATACCTAGCGTGAAGGATGACACCATGTTTGCTCCTCAAACGAAGAAGGAAGTGAGCGAAATAGCGTGGCACAGAGTGGACGAACTGCCAGTCTCTAGCAATGAGTCAGTAGTGCACCATCGTGGTCCTACCGGTCTCAAATATTATATGGTATTCCCGTTTGCGACACCTCTCAATAAATGGATCGACAAGAAACGGTCTATCCACGCGAAGAGAGCAAGTCCTCTTCCTGGTGTTACTGTGTGGAAGGTGAAGAATAATTTGTCATCGGCTGGATCTGGCCCCTTAGCACAAAATTATGGGAATGCAGTGATCCCTTCAGTTCCTCCGGCTGTTGCTACACCTGTACTGTCGTCCGAGAAAATTCGGAGCTCCCCAAAAGTTTCTCCAAGGGTTTCTCCCATGAGCTCTCCTAGAATTATTCCTAGGGCCGCTCCTCAGACACCTCCTAAAACTCCGCCCAAGCGTCTTCCTAAGGCTGTTCTCAAGGAGCCTCCTGGTTGTGCGTTTCGAAACTTCAGATTCGATTTTGCTCGGATTCTTGAGCAGCTCGATGGCTAGCACAAAGACGGGCTAAGAGATGCTGCGCTGCTTGTTGGAATGCACGAAGTGGCGACGAAGTCAATCGATTGCCTGACTTATGGTTTTCCCCAGCAGTTGTGGTCGAGGCTGTAGAACTTGTATTTTACCACTCCCTGTGTTTTTTTAAATCCTCTTCAGAGTTTCTTTCATTTGGGTCATGTTGTTTGGGAGCGTGGCCCTGTAGACATTCTTGGAATTGACCTTACTTGGTCAGCATGACAACGGTCATGAAGAAACATTCAGACACGAGTTTGACCCTGCTCCAGCTAACATCTGACCCTTTCTATCCCTTTCTTTTTGTTTTCTTTCCTCTCTGAAGGAAAACGACGAGCGCAAGTACACGAGGAACAAGATGGGAAATGTAGACGACTGACGAAAATTATCTTAGTAAGCGAATTTGCGGTTGGACAATGGCTCACTGGTTTGGATTTGTGGGAGACTTTAGTAGTCTTTTTGTTCCTCCGAAGAGGTCATAGTCGACCTTACCATTGCCCTGAGTGGACACATCACAAGTGAAGGAGCAGCATTCTTCCTATTAGAAAAATTATAACAGAGCACTGCGTGACATCCGAGATATTGGAGGGTGATGAGAGATTCCACAATTTTTGAAGTGGCATCCTTGTGCAGTGTGAAGGGTTAGGGTAGCATCTAGTAGCAGCAGAGCAAATCGCTCGCCCGTTGGACTGCTTTGTAAAATTGAAATGCTTCGACATGCACAGGTTGTGCAATTTTACGATTGGTGGGAAAGAATGATGTCGTTTAACATCCTTTGAGCACCTTTTCTCAGGCAGATATGTTTCATAGTTCGAGCCTGCGGGAGTGAATCCTTGTATAGTTAGGGGTTTCATTCAACTCTCTGGACAATTTTAGGAAGATCTAATCTTTAGTTTAGAAGGTTGTAACCAAGAACATTCACAGCATAGATGTTACATAGAGAGGTCATTCTATTTGCCTAAGCAGTTTTATGGCTAAAGAGATGATACTCAGGCACATTCAAAGTACAGAAGATGAAGGATCTGGAATACAGGTCTATATAGATAAAGTACTTCTTTCACAGTGAAGACAGGTAGTTCATCCTGTGCTGTAATACGCTCTTAGGATGGTGGGTGACACTGTCGGATACATTTTGCAACTGCTACACAATCTGGTAACTGCAAATGTGAGTCATTTTGCAGCAAGCATTATTTATGCGAAGGTATGGACTTGATACAAGAAGACATTGACGAGCCGACTATGATTGCTTGGATTTTCTCTACTTCAATGTGGGCATATATTTCGGTTGAGACATTCGATGTTGACACACAGTGGAAGCTGATTGGATTGCTGGCAAAGTTCTGGGGCTACTTAAGCCGAGGTCAGTTATTTTCTGGTCTTGCGTACTGTAAACCATGATTAGTGTTGAACAGTTGAGTTTCTGCTGCCCCCATTTTTTCTAAATTTCTGAGATATGGAACTAACAATTTCTTTTATAATTTCGCGTTTTTCAGATTCTGCATGGCCATGTAACAAGAGGAATCTGTGGACACTTGGAAGACCCAATGCCCCAGAAATTTTGCAAATGTCAAAAGTAAAGTGCTCCTTTTCACACGAAGTGCTTGAGCAGTTTTGCTGGCACGGATTAGATTAGTGAAGACATTCAGTTGCTTTAGAAGACCATGAAAGTGGTCGAGAGGCATTTTTTTTTGTGGTTCCCCTTGACTCTGGACAAATGGGTTATGAACGCCAGAAATTTGACGATATTTTTGTTCATTCATGTGAAAATACGAATGCAATGTAACCTGTCACTCGTGTACTTTTGGAAACCTCTTAAAAGACCAGTAAAATTGTTTCACAATTTTTTAACCTTGCATAGACCGCCTCTGCATTTTAAACCTAAGATTAAGTATATTGTAATACTGGGATCTGGTGAATGTATCTTTACATGGAGATTCTGCTGTACTAGTGGCCTACCAGCAAGTTAGTCACATTTGTAAGTCCAGAATCAGTTGCATCTCAGCGTCGATCGCCGGGAGTTCTCCAGTTGAAGGAACACGGATGCTCAGAATTTGCCTCGAGTTAAGAGTGAGGACTGGCCATTCGTTGTGTACTTTCTAATGTGTTAGGTACTGACATCTGTGCAGGAGATATTTTGTTGCTGTACGGTACACTTCAGCAGGTGATGTGATCAGCAGCTCTGAGTTGCTAATGCGGATCTCTACACCTGCATAGATCAGCAAGTGATTCTGCTTATGTACTCTCCGCATTGATCGGCAGATGAAGGACCTAAAAGATCCAAGACATGCCCACCGAGCTGCCGCCCTCATCACCGCTCTTGAGATGCCATTCTTATCAACGTGTTTGGGTTTTTCATAGCCATGAATTCTCTGGATCAACAGTGTGCACCCAAAAACATTTAACATTTCAATTGATCATCACGCATTATTCTAAGCAACTATGCTTTCGCATCTTGTATGTGAACTTCAAAGAATGCGATGATATCACAATATAACGAATCCTTAAGGTCCATATGGGCAAACCCTACATTTTACCTCTATCAGGGAACGAGGGATTGTGAAGGATGTCAGAAACCACCATATACACACACCACAACTCAAGCTTTTCAGAAAATACTTCCGGAAACTGAATGCGGTCAACTTGATTTTCTGTTTGGGTGCAATTGCATGATAATGTGGTTGTGCTAAGCGACTGCACGATCAGCTGGCACGAGCGGTGAATGATACCAGTTCCAGCACCTTCACTCCATTATTGACATCAGATAACTGCCTCTGTTAACCTTCCACCTAATGCTCGAATAAGTATCTTGGACCACATAACCATCACGATGTACAGACAACCTTGAAGTCATAGTGGATACACCCCAAGAAACACAACCTTGTCTCCGACTGCATGCTTTCTCAAACTATGAATGCGAGGTATGGAAGTGAGATCCTCCCATGCAGGGACGGCATAGGGATGCGAGCAGGGAAGAGGTAGAACAGAGCAATTGATAACTGTTTTTCTTTTCTTCTCTTTGTATATATGTATAATATTTGTATATATTATAGTCACTATCTCAAACATTTGTAAGGATGCGCATACTTTAATTAAACGATTCCAATTTTGATCTTAGGTTATTTGGAATACATAGTTGATGGATTAGATTTTAATAAGTATAATAGAGATTATTTAAAAAGTTCTATCAGATGAATTATTGAAAATTATTCTTCAAGTAATAATTAATCTAGCACAAATTCATAAAGCAAATTAAGATGATTTAGAATTAGACTTTGATGATGGATAGAGAGTATATGTATAAGTTTTTAGCTCTAACACACATTTTTTGAAAATCATTTTTTATAGATTGTAATAATCTTTTGAATAGATGTAGATTTGTTTTTAGACTTTAACCATTATATTAAGGACAATAAGAAGTTGCATTAGACCACAAATATGTCCAACTTGGAAGCAAATAAACATAGAAAAGAGTAACTATTGATGCAAAGACAAAATATTCTACTATTATACAATAGCTATGCATATTAGATAGAACAACAAGATAATAGTAGTAAAATCAATATTAATTAAAATGTACAAGATAAGAGAGGGATATGTTTTAGTAGAACTAAAGAACAAGTACAAGAAGAGTTCAAATACAAGAAGTACAATACTAAGATATCTTTAATTAAATAAAAATATATTAAAAAATAATAAAAAAAACTAAGAAAAATAAAATGCCAATGCAAATAAATTTAATATTTAATGAAATCACATCAATGAAGACATAAGAGAATAGAAATAGAAAGGTGTGTAATAAAAAAATCCAATAATATTGTCTACAATCACTTGGTTTGCACAACCTTGCATACTTGCATTGCAAACTATTATAAGAATTGGTGGAAGAAGGCCAATAAATATATAAGATAAGAATTACAATCCAAATGATGTTTTTTATTAGCATTTGGGCTTCTACATAAAATCTTTAAAATCAAATCTTTTAATGAATATATAAAATTAAAATTAAATAAATAAATAAATTAGATTAGACTTTCTTAAGTAGAGTTGTAGAGTTGGGATTTTAAAATATAAAATAATTAGATGTAATTAGGCCAAGAAAAGCCAATAAAGAAATAGAGGCGATGAGTCTTAATGGAGCCAAAGAGAAGAAGAGATCTAGTCAAGTAGAGCCAACAATAAATACTAAGAATATACAGTAGAAGCCACCAACAACGACTACCAATTACACTGTATTATAAAGATGGACTTTGTCAAGGTAACATACTATTAAACTTTATTCATAAGTCAATGGATCTTAATTCTTTCTTTCTTTCTTAATGATTTAAATACACTTCTTTGGCCAATTGAAAAAAGGAATGTTAAGCCTAAAAGTAAAGAGATGGACTAATAGTTTCTTTACTTATCACCAATAATACAATTTAAAGAAGATAATTGTAATACATGACAAGATAAAAAATTCCTTAACTTCCTAAAAATAAATAGATCAAAACTTATAATTTTTTAAAATCGTATTTATGAATTTAAATTACATGTTATATAATCCAAGAATATTAAATATTTTTAATAAAGTTTTGAAGTTCAAGTGTTGTATTATTAGTCTATGATCTCAATTTAAAAAAATATTATTTAAATAAGAACACATGGTATATAATAAGAGAATCTAAGATTGAACCTTCTAAAGATTTTACCACTTTATGAGATCATATGTTCTAAGAGATAGATAATCTCTAAAAAGACTTATGCCTTTCATTATGTTTTACAAAGTTATTGGAAAGAATAGTCAATCCTTGTAATTTGTGGAATATCAAAAAATTAATTAATTAATTAATTAAAAAAATAGATACAAAAGCATAAGATAAAAATCAATTATTACTACTAGATTTAAGGCATTAACAAAAATAATTCCATTTTAACAAAGTCTATGATAAGAAAAAAAATGTACAATGCTACCAAAAACATGGAAAATGAAAAAGTTTTATATTTAAATAAATTATTTATAGAATTTTAAAAATCCTTCTAAGATATCATTGGAATTTTTTTTTGAATATAATTAATAAAAAGATAATACATAAAGATTTTATACTTATAAGTTTTATAATAATAATTTTTTTCTTGCACCAAGAGATAGAAATAAATAAAATAAAATAAAATAAATACCTATTACTTTAATCAACATATCTCATAGGATTTGTACTAAAGCAATCTAAAAAAAGATTGCAAATCATATTTTTTAAAATTATAAATCCAAATCTCATGACTTTTCTACCACCTTTTTGAAGATATCTTTGTATCTTTTATAAAAAAACTCTAAATCTAAAATAACTAATAATATTGCTTAAATCTGACATTTTAAATCTATTTATAATTATATAATGTAAATCATCTTTAATGCAATGAGAAAGTTAGAATTTTTGCAGAAATTTATTTTCCTAATACTCATTTTGATTTTTGATTTTTTTAAAATATTGTTAAAATTCAAAAGAAACCAAACACACAAGAAAATAGGCTAATCATAAATATTTAACCTCACATCAAAACAAATTATAAATTTTAATATATAAATAAATCTAATTATATAGATAAATATCATTTAAAAATATCAATCTTAATAGCAGACAATGCTTTTAAAATCAACTTGTTAATTGAAGATTTATTAATCAAGAAATGAAGGTGATAAAATATAAAAACAAATATAATGCAATTATAAACTTAAAATAAGTTTTATAAGTTTTAAAATAAAAATTATATTTTAATTAATGGTTTCTATCCACAAAAGTTTTAAAATTTTACTCATGTATTATAACTACTTGTAATTAATTTTGTATGCCAAATTTTGGGGATTTCTTAAATTTAATTTCAAAAATATTAAATATACTCTATTTACACTAAAATGTAAAAATGATATTTACTAAACTAAAAGTTAAAATATTGTATTTTAAATGTTCATATCATATACAAATGATGAATTTTTATTATGTTACCTAGACTTCTATATTTATGTTTTATTTAAATTGATAAAACTTTTGCTTGAGGAATGTTCTTTTTGTTAAGTCTATAATCAGCAATGAAGGTATAAAAAGCGCTATTCCATCAGTATATTGAACTTTTTCATAGTCATTGTACTTCTTTTTTTTCTTTAAAATATATATATATATATATATATAAATAAATAAATAAATAACATCTGATATCTTGACACAATGAATAAATTTGAAAGTAAAATTATATTCATACGTTTTTTAAAAAAGTGCTTGGCTTTGTTTATGAAAATTAAAGAATTGATTCAAATAGATTTCTCCTTTTGTATTTTCGGCAATCCATAATATAATTGTTCATTAATATTTTGATAAAATCTAGAATTTTAATTTTTACTATAACTAGGAACATTTTTATACAGATATTAAGTAAAAATGCTTTTACTTTTTTCTTTTGATTTGTGAACTTGTTTACTTGACACACAAATAAGTGTCAACTGGATGTTGTAGATAATATCTTGAATGCAAAATACACTTATATAGTTTACGACTTTTACGAAAATATATTTTAAAAAGGATATGAGTTTTTTATGACAGTGGACTTTAACTATCTAAAGTTTTGAATTTTATCAGGAATTGTTATTGATTAGAAATTCTAAGTTTAACTATGAAGCGATTTTTTCTAATCACCTTGAACAGAGATTACGAACTAGTAATAAAGTAATGTAATTTATCAAAATGAAAGTGTGATTACTGGATTGCTTGACATTGTTCCATGGCGCAAGTCTGCATCTCTCCGCTGACAATATTAATAGAAAGCTGCAGACGCCAAAAATAGAAGGGACAAACACAGAGTTGCGGGGATCGATGTATCACAAGTTTTTCATAAGAATATTTAGGACGCTGAGTCGGAAGTCACTGGGTTCTTTACCGAATTCATTTCAAGGTAATGGTATGGTTTCTGAGCCAACACATACCTGTCGAAAATGCGGTATAGCAGAGGTTGAGGAAAGAGCAGAACAACAAGAAGCACCAACTGAACGCCGCAAACTTTAATGCAACCTCCACGGATCTGATGCATCTGTAAAACACCTCGTTCCGAATCCGTGCAAGACATGACAATCCATCATTGGTTATGAAAACACACGTGTATTTCAGTACAACAGAGGTTAATATTGTTGACATCCCAAAACCTGATGCCTTCAGAGAATCTGCAAAGTCGTTCTGTTGAATACAGAAGCGAACTACACGAGCGTATAGCTCAGTTTACTATGACTACATCAAGCGCATACCTTAACCCCAAGAGCTTCCTTCACATCATCATATGTCTACTTCTACAAAGGTATGGTTCTTCTTCCGCATGTAGTAATTTACATCGTATGATGTCAGAATGCCCAGCTTCTTCCAAGTTCTTGAAAATACTCTAGGCTCAGGTAAACCTTCTATTTCTTTCTTCCAAAAGAGCTATCCTTACAAATAAAAATGAAACATGATTTTCGATGTCAACTCAACAGAACCATCTTTGAACTGCTTACAACCGAGTGTGTAACCACTTGGTACTCAAAAACAATCCATTACCCCCTCAGAATGCAAGCATCTTCCAAGTAGGTCTCAGAATCTTTACAAAAGTCGCATGTGTAGCATCGACTATGTTTATACTGCATTACCTTGCCGAACTCCTGCCTATCTTCACAATTAATACTTCTAAGATGATACGGCTGCTTGTACCTTTAAATTTAGATTCAAGTAAATCCTCTATAATTCGGCCGACTCTTTATCGGAGTGATCGGTGAAGACGCTGGTGCCATCTTGTTCCTTCGCGCTCCACACCTCATTTGCAACATCAGCGCCAGGATTCTCTGCAATGTGGTCTTTGACTGTATATGCCGACGGCTCCTCTGTGGGAGATTCCTCGTGATGTTCTGTGCAAGAAATACGAAACAAAATGAGACTCAAAACAAGGAATCCAAGTGAAGCATTGTCAGAGCGATTCACTAACCTGAAGGAGTTGCAAGCTCAAACCGATCATTCTTTAACTTGAGAAGCAAACAACTTTAAAACATGATTATTAAAAGCAAGACAAGAAACTTGGGTATAAATCCATAACAGACATTGGCACAGAAAAATATCAAGAGTAATTTGGTAATCGAGCGAACATAAAGTATCCTATACGAAAGATTCCATCAAGCGGTAGAAGTGCAAATGTCTGGATCAATGTCGAGAGCAAGTTGCTTACCAATTACATTAGACTGCTTGAAAAGCTCGTGGCTTGCTCTCTCGATAGCGTCCTCTGGATGCTCTTCAGTATCCTACATTCTCCAATGTTGAACGTTAAAAACCTGGACCACAAAGTGCAATCTCCTACGAAGTTGTCCACATATCTGAAATCATAACTTAAAAACATGGCACCAAATAAATCTCACGTCATATAAGCGAGTTATGTGCAAAAACTTTGAAACAATACCCTCAAATAGCATATAGTGAAATTTGTTTTTCGCGTATGCACTCTATTTTTCAAAGTGATGATGAAAAATAGACAAAATCATTGGAGGCGACTTCATCGATACATGGGCGACATGAATAGTCTTCGGAGAGAAACTGTAGAAGTTCAACACATACCTCAGTTTTCTTCTTTGCATGCTCGTCAACGAAACTTGAGTTTCTCATTAACCTAACAAAGCCAACACGTGACATGTCGCTCAATTCGACAAGGTCAAGACCATTTAGGAAATCATCCTTCCTTCCAACATTAGAGAAATTATTATGTACAATGGACCTGGCCGCAAGGCCATTGGAGCCTTCGGAGACCAGATAGAACAATCCTCTCATGTTTCTGCAAAACATTGCAGCCATCCTCACGGTTCGTCCTTTCGAAACTCTCCCCCTAAAGCTTGCGCTTCTTTCCAAACTGGAATCTCTCTCACCGCCTCTCTCTATTGAATACACCTCTGCAGTTGACAACACACACAGAAATTAGGAGGAATCAACGTCAACTCCGCATTCAAAAATTTCACGACACCTCCTCATTCCTCACCTGCACACGAATCACCTGGACACAAACAGAGAAAATCTTACACGATGACTGCGCAACACAAACGCACATGAACGACCACTGTATCGACTATATCTTTAAAATCTCACATCAAACATGTACAACTCCTCTAAGACACGAATTCTTACTCTTTATCAGAAACAAACAAGTCTCCTGCCCGAAACACACCATTCACTCAGGCAGAACATCACTCGAGTTAATTGTAACCCTCCACAGGCGCCAAGTGAAACCAAACGAAATTCGGAAAGGGAATGCGAGATACGGGCACTTACCTGATCGAGAGCTGTGGAATTGCAAGCGTGAAGGTGTCAGAGCCGAGAAACGCAGCAGCAAGGCGGAGAGCAGCAGAACGGGAGCAGACACGAGAGGCAGAAGGCATCACAATCGCATGGAATCTTGAGGAGGGTGAGGGGGACCATGCTTGCCACCGTCGACGTCTGCTCGACCATCGGCGACGAGGAATTCGAACGAAGCCGGGACGAGGTTTGAATTATTCTATGTACGTCACGATACGGAACTAAATACTGGGTAAATATAGGGTAGTGCTAATGTTACCACTACATGTCACCTTCTCAATACATTTTTTGAGTTTTGTTTCGATAAAAATAATAAATAATGAATTTTATTTATTCAATTTTGTATTTATTGCACCTTGAAGAAATGGTTGTGGTGGCAGAAGTAGAAGAAAGATTTTGAATTAAATTTTTATAGGATTGTGGTGGCAGTAGCAAAAATTGTGGTAAAATTAGCTCCACTCTAGATAAATTGTGGAAAATTGTTGGAAAAAAATAGTATAAAAATATTTTTTAGAATTCGGATACAGTAGTAAAGCATTCATGCTTTTATCAAATGTAAAATATTTTATAGTGATATATTATTTTTTTTCTTTAAAAAATGGTATAAAATAGAGAAAATATTTTAATAAATAATATATTATTATTTTACAATACCTTTTATAATTTTTATTATATTTTTATTTATTAGTAGACAGTATAATGCTAATTGATTATTGGAATTTATATAGTTGATAAATTATTTATTTCCTTTGAGTATTTTAAAGATTTTTTAAAGTAATTATATGGTTGATTAATTTTTAATTTAAAATATTTTAATTTATAAAAGTACATATATATGTATATATATTTGGATATTTTTATTTTATAATATTGTAATAATTGTATGTATTTGAATTGTTAATTATTTTTTAATTATTTACACAGACTGGGTATATTTTTTATATAATGAAATTCAAGTATCGAATGTGTGAGATTTAAATTTATTATAAAAAAATATTAGACACCTTTGGCAGTAACAATACTTAGCTATTCTTTATATTAATTCATCTAGTAAGTTCTTAATATTTTATTATAAATAAAATTTGATGTAATATGAGCAACTAAATTTTAAGCTTATAATTTATAAAAGATGTCTAAAATAAATTTAAATAAATAAATAAATAACTATATATATATATATGTATATATATATATATATATATATAGTACAAAGTATCAAATAACTAATTTTAAAAAAATGTATTAGAAGAAATATATGATGCAAATATGAAATAAAAGAAATATTGAAACTTCTTAGGCACATATTATACAATTGAAAAAAATATGCACTTGTAAAATTTAATTCAGATTAATCTTTACTTATCTAGCAAAATGCATTTGTCTACTACTTAAGTACAGATTATGTAGAAATATTTATTTATTTTGTGAAATTTTTGTTGTGAAGAAGAATTTCCTTAGATATTATATAATTGTTGGCAACTTGTATGTTCTGAATAACAAGTAAATTTTTAAAAAATCAAACAACTTTTGATGAAAGAAAAATCTGTTTCTAAAAAACATAAAACATCTACACCAAAACATTTAAGAATTTATTGTACAAGATTGTTGCCACTATATATTTTATACTTTTAAGTATGCAACCAATTACTATTTTTTTTTTTATTTTTCTTCAAAAAATTGCCCTCTTGCATTTCTTAGTTATAAAATCATTCTTATAGCTACTTGAAGAAGTTCTTACATTATACAAGATTCAAGTCCATTATTTAAATTCACAAATTTTTACTTTGTTCACATTCATTTGGCAAGTGTTTTGATTCATTGGCTAATTTTTTTCACTTTTTACATTATTGATTTGCTTCTATTAAAATTTAATTATGAATTTTATTGTATTAATTAAATTTTTTGCTTCTCTTGTTCTTCAAATAATTATATAATTAAATTTTAAATGAATTTTGTTTTAATATTTTTAATATATTCAAATTTATTCCAAAATATCATAATTATTAGAATTTTATAGTATATATTTTTTTTCAATCTCTACTAAAATCAAAACAAAAATTTTACAAATTTTTTGGTATTTAAAACTTCAATTGATAAAATTATTGGATATAAATGTCATTTGCTCATATTATTTTTTCATCATATTCTTTTCTTCTAGTTTCTAGTTCTTCACTTTTTAAAATTTCTTTGTCAACTTTGGATTAGATTTCAATACAACCTACATTATTACAAATATTAATTTATTTAATGCACTTTTTCGTTCCAATGCAAATTTTATTGTTTTTTTTTCTTTTTTTTCTTTATACTAAAATTAATATTTTTATCAAAAATAATAATAAATTTAATTTTGGCTCTTTTGTTGTGTATGCTTTAAATTCTTTAACTTAGCTTACATAAGCTTTATTATTTGTTGATATTATGTTGTAATAAGCCCAATCGGCTTATTTAATAAAAAAAGATAAAATTACATTTGATATAAGACATGCTTGGTAAATTTTTAGGATTTTTAAACTACAGAGGTAGAAGTTCAAGGATGCTTAAGATCTTGAGACTTCTCGGCTTAAGTGCCCTCATCAATTGTACAAAGTTTATTTAGGTGTGTGATATTGGAGTGGTGTCTGATTTGGCCTAACAATTGAGTCAAAGGTGATAGCATGTCTTACAAGGTTGCAGTTGTTGATTATGTCCTTGGTTTGTGTGGCAGAGAAGGAGAGAGTATTTATGTCCTTATTTATAAAGGAGTCATTTTGTTTTGTATTGGAAGACCATTGACTTCCAAATATGTCATGATTTAGGCAAATATCTCTTTTGTTTGTGCTCTTGCAAATTGATCATTGTTATGTGAGTTGTAAGCTCTCATGTTTGTAAGGAATCAAATTGTGAGTAGATGAGTTTTTATTGATGTTTGAGTCAAGAAAAGAATCAAGGCATGTGTATGATCATGTCGTGGAGATTTGGTTCCAATTGATCTCATAAGATTTATTATTCAAATCCTATTGTGGACTTATATCATTTATATGTGATTAAGAAATTTTTATAGGAAGGAATTAGTAAGTAGAAGAAACTTCCACTTAAGAAGTAAGCGGCCGAAATAGAATATTTTTTTATATTAAGATGATTAAGAAAGTAGTTTCTATTGTAACTTGTTGTCATGAACATATATAATTATTCAAATAATTACCTATATGATTAAATAGAATAAAATAAAAATAAATTAATTAGATAATATATTATGGAGAAGTATTATAGAAGCTTTATAGATACAATTTTGACTTTACACGTGTTTACAATTGATTGATAAATTAAAAACTTGGACAAAAAATTAGCCATGTATTATACGTATTGGTAGTTTGTAAAAAAAACTAACTATATGGCACACATATAAAAAACTTGTCTTGTAAGTTAACACATGTGTCACACAATTTGGACATGTATTGAAGGTCCTATAGAACGTTGCTATGTAGTTTTTAGTTAGATAATATATATGGAAGCAAGAGTAAAGGTTTTTTTACTCTTGTTAATATCTTTTTAATTCTTAATCTTGTTTCAAGACTTTTTTTGTCTTTTGTCTTTAGCAATAGCCATTTGAATTTAATAATATATCATCTTTGAGTGATTCTTTAATTTTTTCAAGTGACACAAGAATGTATTAATCTACAACTTTTTGAACTTGTTTGACTTTCTATGAAAGAAAAAATTATGATTGTTACTTTCTATGAAAGTGAGAATAGATTTGTAATTATTGTAGATCTTCATAAGCTTCATTATTCTTATGATATAAATTTTGAATATATTATATATATAAAATGAATCATGGAAGTACTATTCTTATGATACTCTTAAGATATAAATTTTGGATATTTCTAAAATGAATCATGGAAGTACTACTCTTATGTCCATGAAAGAAATCAAAAATAAAGTTTAAAATTTGTGCCAAAAAGTTGTGTAATTAAGAGAAGAAATTAGATTAAGTTCACAACTAAATCCTAAAAATCTTACTAATACAAGTATAAGAGAAGCAAGGATAAGTATGGACAAGAAGTTTGATAGAACAAGATCAAAGTTTTGAAGGTTTTTACAATAAGTAAAGTTCTATCTAAGGTTATTTCTTTTTCAATACTTTGATGGATTTATTCAAGTTGGATTTATAAGAGCACTTTTTTCTAAGAGTACATTTTTTTGATTTGTATCCTTGATAAAAAAAAGATTCAAAATTATTCTATAATTTAAACTCATTCTTAGAAGTATTTATGACTACATTTGGAAAAAGTCATCAAAAAGGGTAGTAGAGATCAAGCTTATATTTCTATGACAAGGATGATGTTCATCCACTATATATGTTGCTGAATTTCAAAACCTTATTTGTGACATAGATTGGAATGACAAAGCCCTTATCAATCAATTTTGATATGGATTGAAAGATAATGTCAAAGATTTATTGTTGACAAAAATAAAAACAAACTCATTGAAGCAATTTATTGCTCAAGCTATTGCATGTAAAAATCAACTCTTTGAAAGACATCATAAATAAAGATTTTATTAGAGAGGTACAAGTCAAGCCATGGAAATACCTTCTAAATTTTTGAAATCTTATTCATGCAAATCAAAGCTTGTGCAAATTTACATAGTATGTTTTCAACCTCTTTTTGAGCAAGAAAAGACTTGTCATTGTCAAAAAGATTTATACTTATATTATAGAAAGTCCAAATATATTACTTAATATTGTCCAAAGAAGCAATGTAATCACAAAATAAGAAGCTTAGTTGCCAAAAAAGACAATTTGTTGAAAAATAAGTTTTTTCAACTACAATAGAGATTGTGCAACTAAAATCTTATACAATACCTAGTAAAGGCTCTATTCTCTCATCAAATTCTTCATCTTGTTTCACAATAGATGTTTGTTTAATATTAAAAAAATCACAAAGGCTTAGCCTTATTAGATTTAAGAGCTTTAGTTTATTTTATAGACAAAGATTTTGTCAAAAAATAAGAAACTTCTTTAATTAAAAAAACCAAATTTGTACATGTAAAAATAATAGGTGGTTATTAATTGTCTATTGGAGATGTTTTCTATGAAATAAATTCTTTAGATATAAAAACTAATAGTTATAATAGCTTAGAATTATTTAATGTGATT